ATATATAATAAAAGCACGAATAATTTAGGCTAAATATTGAACGACTAAAATATCCTTGAAACATTGATCGACTACTATGCCCTTATTTATTTGTATAATTTAAGGATATAATTGTAAATTATCTTAAGATCGGTTTTTCTTTCCATTTAAATTACGCATACATTAATGCTACATAGTTGACTTTGTGTCAAATTCTACACGCTACTTTTTGGCCGATTTGGTTTCTTTAGCTCAACTTTTTTTTAAGCCTTTTCCTTTTTTTACAAGAATATTTTTCTTTATTTATCTTCTCCCATAGAATTCAGCCTACTCACCGCCAACGTTTTTTAGCCTTTTCTTTTTTTGATAACAATATTTTTCCTTATTTAATCTTCTCCTATAGAATTCAGCTTAATTGCACGAATTTATGTAGGAAAAGAATAAGCTAATTATTCCTATAAAAGATGATATTGTTTCACATTGTTCATTGTTCACTAAAGGTTTTGGTGTTGAATGAAGTAATTTTCTCCAAAGGTATTATTAGTTCTCGTCATTGTTCCCGTTTTTCGTAATTGAGTAAGTTCCCGTTTTTCGTAATTGAGTAATGCTTTAGGGTCATGTATATGAACTAGAGATAAAAATAATGATACCTTAACTTTTATTGTAATTGATTTTTGTGTTGTACTTCTTTGTTTTTCGGCGTAGTTTTTAGTTTTACATATCAAAGTCTTTTACATTGAAGTAGTATTATGTTTAAATTGTATAGCTTTAGAGATTAATGGTTTATGTTATTTCAACTAATGCTAGTGTAACAATATTAATTTTCAGCTATTACATAATATTTTGCAGCTTTTACTTGTATATTGCAGGTATTTCTCGCAGTGTAATAGAATCGGATTTGGAAAAACAATGTGTCCCAATAAATAACCTTAAACTTTATGATGTTGATGGGTAATTAAGGTATTGGTTATTCGAAGAGGACCAATAATAAAATATAAGAACGACAAAGGAGAGGGTTTGCGTTGGCATTTAACAT